GAGCGATTTTTGGTTATATTTATTCAGTAAAACTTAAAGAAATTGCATTCATCAAAAGAATAGATAATAAATACGTTCAAATTGTGACAAATTTTTATCACTTATTCCCAGTTCACGTATCAAAAGGAGACAAGGGAGGTCAAAGATTCTCCACTTGTAGCAATGGTCAAGAAAATTACTGAAAAATATATCAGACGTGCAATGTTCATATTTATTTTACCAACATAGGAACTGCTTCAACGAATATCATTGTTAAATAATGAATCAACGTATATATAACTTTTTTAAAAAATATTTTATTATTTCTTTTTTCTAGAAAAATTTCGTTATGTTGTAACTAAAAGCTATTATTGACAGATAAAACAAGAAAAAACATTAACAGTTGTTGCACCGAAGCTATAAAGCTCTTCAGAAGTACATTTGCTATAGCATAAAATACATCTTTATCTTGATTTTGTTATATAAGTTTGTATGGCAGTTATATACTATAGTGTTCCGATGTGAACAATATGTTAGAAGATCGTCGCGCTGCTTTAGGCAATAATCTGTGTAAAACTTTGTGAAGATATTTTGGCATATACAAACGTTGTCCATACATAAACTTAATTTCGATCGATCACATTTTGTAGCAGCTATATGGTATAGTGGTCTGATATAGATGATTCCGATAAATGAGTAACTTCCTGAGGTGAAAAGAACTCGTGCAACTTTAAATCGATATAAACTGGGGGACTAGCTTGCGTATGTACAGACGGACGGACAGATGAGCCGATGGATAGATGAGCATGGCTAAATAGACTAAATAGAATTTAATACACCCTGTATAAATATTGCTATAAGTGCCATAACTACCAGCGCCTGCTCGCAAACCTTCGAAAACCCCAATTGCGGTAAATTTTTAGTAAATGTATAAAAGTTCACTTCAATGGGAGTGCTATACAAGAGAAATATGTTATTCTTGAATGAAAATAAATTTGGAGTGCTCTACAAGTGAAATATGTTATTCTTGAATGAAAATAAATTTCACATGAAAGGATCAAAAATTAGATAAGAAAATATATAAGCCCTAAGTCGTAACATTTCAAAACTAGTGTAAAGCCTGGAGAAGACTAAATAATGATTTGTTTTTGTTATACTGGTATGCATAAGTACGTGAAATAAAATAAATAATGTTCCACGTTCTATGCTTCAATTTACAGATTTAATTCAATAAACTGAAATTTGTCTCAGATTAGCTAGAGGTAAATTTTTTAAACCAGCTGTCTCGATTTCCCTAACGAGCCAATAAAACTTCTTCTAATTTTTTGATTAAAAAAAAAAGTGTTTTGAATAGTCAAAGACTTTGTCTGATTTCTTTTTATTAAAACTTAAATTTGAGATTTAGTTTAGTTAATGTTTAGTTATCGCATCTTTTATAATATATCTATTACTAAATATTTCAACTGATGTTATATCAGTATATCATTGCACTTGCTCTATTTTTGGCAACAGTATAAATGGGATTATATTGGTTCGTGCGAGTTGTAGCTTAGACCAAAGTCTTCTCGGCAGCAAGAACGCATATGTATATGTGTGCTGTGGATACTTTAGCTATATATACTTATATATGTTGCAAAGGCTTCTAGATAAAGAAATAAAAAAAAAAATCATGTAGTTGGCAAAAACTATTAAGAAACTCTCTCTCAATAGTTAACTAACAAATTATACAAGTTGTATTGTACATGCTAAAATTGGCATTGTAGACTTCAACGATTGATTATATGTACATACTTTTTGCCATTTCATGCCCGAAAGGCCAGCCAAATTGAGTGACAGTTGAAGGCTTACAAAATGCAAATTCATCATCGAATTTCTTGTGATACCAATACAATAACGTTACGTATTAACAATCGACTGCACAGATTTGTTCAACGAAATGATAGAAATACGCTTCGATATACATATACATATAAGTAGAATTCCAAATATGTATAAGTTGAATTGTACATGTGTTGGCTGACTATTTGGCTATGTTAGTGACGTCGAGTGCGTCAAAGTTGTATGCCGGTTTTTATATTACGACAATGCTCACACATGCGTATACCAGATATGCTACAAAAGCATATAACTTAAATATACGAAAGCATGAATATGTTTTGCGTCACTGTTACAACTATCATACATGTTAGCGTTATATTGCCTCCGGTTTTTTGATGACACATTTTTTTGTTATTTTTACTCCAATTTCCATTTCAATCTAAGCCACAATTTATGGTTAAGTCCCAAAAGGCTTTTCGTATTTATACGCATTGACAAATACAAACAGAAACTGTCATACAGACACACATTTGTATGCAGTTGTGTGCGTATGATATTTCGCATTCGAAAGCGAAACGATTCAAGCGTCACATGATCACAAGCAAACTAACAAATCGGAGTCAAACAAGCTCACCCTTAGCTGCCGCCCTTAACGAATCGATACAAATCGGTTTTTGTGTCGTTTTGGATGAATTTTATGCTTTTATTTCATGTATTATTTTTTATCGGTTTGCTGTGGTGAGAAGTTTTTTGCCAGAAATGTAAGATATTTTTCTGAAAAGTATTTATACAAATTTTTAATATTATTTTTTTATTTTAAATTTTAAATTTAATTCTATATATATCTACAATAAACAGATTTATTTCTGTACAAAATTGACGATATAAAGCGTATAAGAAGTGAACTTTAATATCAACTCCACATACAAATTTCCTATAAACTTTTTCTGGATGACTACTATAGCATACACGAAAGACTTACTAGTCTTTAAGTTTTATTTTGTCTCTCTCGCATGGTTTGCGGCGGGTAAACTCTTATCGATTAAGCTATCAGACTTACATGCAACAATTTTTAACAGCTAGGCGCCAGACACGTGCTTGTTACACTCCTCTAAACAAATTTTTATGCCTCCCACCTGCTCATTTGCTTTGCCTTGACTTTTGCCTTTGAACTGATTCCCGATAATTGTACATACATACATATATACGAGTACCTATGTATGCTTCAGCATACGCGTCAACGAGCACTTGACTGGGAATCAAAAGAGATTTAATGGAACACCTGGCCACACCCCCGGCTCTGTATCACCACAACACGCAAGTAAAATTGTAATTTTTATGCTGAGCAGATCGATGCGTGTGTATGGTGAACACATAAAAGTGTGTTATTAATTTCCTCATCAGCTTCAGCTGGTTACGTATACGCTATGGTGTGCACAGCAGATTCATATACACAAATGCTTATTTTATTTTATTTCATTTCACTTTATTTTACTTTATTTTATTACTTTATATTTCGCAAATCCCATTTTATGAAATCTTCTACTAGAGTATGATAACTGATGATTCGTTATATTTGCTGGCTGTGCAAGTATACATATATATCACATTTTCTATTTGCTAGTTATTGACCTTGTGCGTCAAATTTAATGGCGTTGGAAATATGTGAAAAAGATGATTCGACAAAATATGATGTGCAAGGGCGAGATTTGTGATAAATATGCGATTGATGGTATGATTTTTGGCTTTGAATTTTTATTGCTTTTTCTTTTATTTTATTTATTTATTTCTTTGCTCTTACCACGACTGCAGTGCTGTCGGGCTTCAAGAAAATCGATGATGCATATATTTATGGGAGTGAATGGCATGTTTAATGGCGGGAGGATAATACTTAAAGTTACATAAAGAGCTTTTGTTATTATTTGGTATTTATGTATTTATATTTGAACGGCTGTAAATGCTTTTAAGATAAAAATATAATAGCTAGATATATATTCAAATAATTATTACTGTAGGAAATCGGATTGCAAATTTTCCATCCTTTAGCATTGTTTCATACACAAGAGATTTCTCTCCGAAGGCAGAAACATACATGCCTTCTACAAGTATACGTTAGCACTGGTAAGGAGGTAAGGACTCTAAGTGGAGCGATACTTTATTTGTTCTCCAGCATCTCTCGAAAGAGCTTCTTTGAACAGAAAAGCTGGCCGAAAAAACGAGCAATAAATCTGAAGTTCTGATAGAATGTAACGTTGTGTACTAATGCAGATGTCGGCAGCCTAATGATCTCTATGTGCTGTCTGAGCGGTTTTGTCTTTCACATGCACTTGTAACTGTTATTATAAAGAAGAGTGATGTCAAGATCAGCTGTTTTCTTAAAAATTATTTATTGAAAGAACATTTGAATTAATTGTTTTTTTATTTTGTAATCTGAGATACGTTGAAATTTTAAGAACACATACCGGATTCAAAATTAAAAAAAAAAATGTGTAATCCAATAAACGGTTTATAAATCTTTTAATTTCTACAACTTCGCCATATAACTTTTTTTTCTATAGCACTCGTATTTTTAGCGTAAATCGAGATAACCGTTTTTAATTCTTAAAAATTAAACCATATCAGATCTTCCATAAATTATTTTTCCTTTCAGCTTTTATTTAAAATGTTTTTCGACCTACTATGAATTTCTTATAATTGTTATGATGTTCCGTTCAATTGAAGTGAGTAATAAATCAAAAAAAAATACTTAATTTTTTCCCATTTTTCTTTTTCAAATACTATTGAAATATATTAACAATCAAATTAGACATTATTTTTACAACATAATATTTATAGAACCCAGTGATGGTCTTAAATACGAGGTCAGTTGAGAGTCTCTCTCTAAAATCTTTTTTTTTCTCTAAAATGTTACCGTTTATATCGCAAATTCCATATTGACTCGAACTTTGGACAAAACAATTACAAAAATATATCAAAGAAGACATATAATCAATCAGTATTAAAAATTTCGTGATGATCTATTTTCAAATCCTTCAAAAAATTTAGCTCAGTTAACAATAATGACTTGAAGGCATCTTGCTGTCACTAATATTTATTAGCACTGATATTTAGCAACCCTGACCCTAGCGACAATATCATTATGACCACATACCATAAGCCTAGTACGTACAATTTTACCTTATCCATAATCTCTTCTCTTGCAGGACTCTTGCGATTGCAACAGATTTACCAAGGGCTCAAACCCGGCAACGAGTCATTTCAAGTGGAAATGGTTAAGCGTATTGCAAATGTAACAATGGCCATTGACTTCCTGCATACGCTCGAGGATTTGGGACGTTTCAATAACAAATACATTGTGCTGGATTGCCCAACGGAAATGGCCAAACAGATACTCATTCAACATGTGCGCGATATATCGCTCGGAAGAAGGACATATCACTATTTGCTAAGCGGTTTGGTAAGAGCAACTTTTTCATACATATACACACCTACATTGTACATTACATGTAAAAAAAACTATATTATTGTTTTGTATGTTCATTTGTGTACTAATATCTTTGTACACACACTCCCACAAATACATATAGCTGCGGTAGCACGCTCCTGCATAAAAGCCAAGTAAATAAATCGTTTGCATGACTGCCAAGCCACAAATGAGCAAAGGTGAATGTAAACAAATATGGTGACTAACACAAAATGTACACACCGTAAGCACGTTTTGGCTTTTGCTCATATATCGGTGCTATACACGACGTACATACAAGTATATAGTTTTGTCTGTTTTTATGGCACAGTTTTATTTGTGCGGGCACCCGCAAAGCGATTTATGTGGCTTTTTCGGTTTGTTCGGCGGTTTCAATGTTTGAAACCACATTAATAACCAATTATCCATGTTGTACGTGTTGCCATTGAATCTGAGGCTACGTGCCAATTTTCACTTAGTGCAATGCCAAAAGTCATGCTGATTCGGGAAATACTTGTGGCGAACATTTATCCGATTTGTAGACTTTTTTTTTAGTTGCTTTTGGGTTTGGCTTATCGTACGTTTTTGTTTCAGAGACTTTTTGCATTGCCCATTCATATACCGGCATTGATTTGATCCGTTTCAGGTAATGGACGATCGTTGGGAGAGCGAAATCATCGAATTTGGTGCCATCAATATAACCGGATTTCGTATTGTTGACACTAATCGTCGATTCGTACGTGATTTCTTTGACAGTTGGAAGCGCTTGGATCCGGCTACATCGATTGGCGCCGGCAGGGAATCAATTTCGGTACGTAATATAATACAAACAAGTACATAATGTAAATATCTATATAAAAATCTATATAGAAGTGCGGCATAAAGCTACTCTTACACAAACTTTTATATGCTGACAAGTGTAGAAGCATGCAAAACAATGCTATTGACTCGTTTAACCACAAGCGTTTCATCTAGTAGTTGTTTGTTAACTTATGTACACAAATACATAAGTATGTAAACACATATATATATTAATAAGTTTGTAAGCAAGCTTTGAGTCATGTATGCATACTTTACGGAAATATGATTATAACAACCTGTCAGTGAAATCAAATAATTGATAACTAGTTCAAAAGTACTATCAAACGCAGACCCAACTGGTCGGTCAATTAGGTTTTTCCATTCAAGTGTTTAGTGTTTTTCAGGGGTTTGACCTGTTTAGTACGCTAAAATAGGTATTACCACTAACAATTTATTTTGGTAGTAATAAAAGGGAATTGAATTTCCGTTGCGCAGAGCTGCAATTAATATTTCAAGCAGATATGGTCGATAATCTCCCAGCACCATCGCCGCTTGATCGGAAAGTCTTGCATGACTCAACAAAACGCTCCAACAGTAAAGCTGGGAATATCATTTTCTGTCTTTATTCTTCTAAATTAATGTTATTTTACCATTAAATGTAGTTTAAATCAAAATAAATTTCGATTTTTTTCAAATTCCACACTGACTTAACCCCAAATGAGCCAATTATTTATTAGATTTTATAAGACTTCTGTATAAGTTCTAATAAATAATTGGCCCCAGTACAAAACAGTCACGTTGTACAGTGATATTCTCATAAGCTATTTAATTTTTCGAGTTCTTTGTATATTTATTGAAGAAATACAGATGTGCCAACATTATTATGAGCCTTTTACTCACCCACTTCCTGGTACGTTTTAATCACTACAGGGAAACTTCATATACATACATATGTACAATACTTATACTTGTATGTAAATACGAAACGCCCGTAAATACACAACTTTTTGACAACATTACTTGTTTAGATTCATAACGCATATCACATGACACAGTCAGCGCAGCCAACCAAACCATTCACATTTACCGTTCGCTATGTTTTCTAGGCGCATGTCCACAAACATATATACGGAACAAAACAGAGAGTGTGTTGTATGTATGTTCAACTTGTACTTTCTTGTTTATATTTGCTCTCAACATTTTTTGTGTGCTTTGTTTATTCCTGTCAACGTTGTACTCTTATTATTATTTTGTTATTTGTACGTTTTGGCAGAGTAAATGTGGCGATAATGCCGATATGACACACTGATAGCAAGGCCTACCCCCACCCACACACTAACCGAATTGTGCATGTGCTCTTAACGTCAAAATGCTAAAAAGGGTGTAAGTTGTAAACAAGAAGCACAACAAAAGCACAATAAAAATTACAACAATATAAAAAATTATGAGAAGTGTTAACGTTTTCGTACGTGTTTCGGCTGCCATTCCCTCCTTTTTCGCTTACAGCATAACAGGATATTTTGATAACATACCTAACAATATTTAAGTCGCATTGGATCTGCATATTAATCTCACTCCACAAGCCATAATAATAATAAAAGCGTGTGCGGAAAACAATTCAATAAAATGGGGATTTTAAAAATAAATCGGAGTTTTCGTATTTCCAATTGAACTGTGTGAGCACGCTTTGTTATATTTTACATATAGATAACTCCATACAATTTAATTTAAACTCAAATATTTGGTGCAATTTTTCTGAAAACCATTATTTAAAATTATGTGGCAATTCGAGGTTTCATGGTTTGTAAGCATTTTAATTTTAAATTATTGACTGATTGATAACTTTAAATATTCTGTATTTTGCTTGGGAATCCAGCACACATTACATTTTTGAGTTTCAAAGCCAATTAGATTTCAAGAACATTAGAAAAGAAATGTATCGAATTAAAAATAAAATTATCGATTCAGCCTGGTACAACTTGCTATTATTTAGTTTGAAAAATATACCTGTCGAGGATTTTCGCTCATGTAAGAAGGTACATTACGAAATCTAAATTTTCTCTAACACAGTCCTTTACAATATTATTCGTTTATATCCAGTTACTCAAATAAATTTTTATACTCAACTAATATTATATGTTCTCTAATGGCTTTAGACTTTTATATGCGTACAACATTATTGAGGGAATAATATTAAATTTTGTTCAAGACGTTTCGATCGAGTGAATATTTTTAAGCGTACTGAACTAATCTATACCAACAATGCAAATCTCAAACTATACCCCCTATTGCGGAGGGCTACTGAATTATAGTTGCCAAAATACCTGCACGAAATACTATAACAATATTTTTTTTCGGATTGTCTGATTTTGACATTTCTATATATCTTAATATAACAAAGGTTAATAGCAATCGATAATATTATATAAACGAAGTGGCGGCTGCCAACTCATTTGCCTGTGTTAGGTAGTCGATATCTACTTGTACTCGTAATGTTAGTTTGGGCATACTGTTGTCCATCGGCAACTATACTCGCGCTATTATAGATACGTAATAAAGGTATTTATTCAGCGCACTCATACTAACTAGAACACAAGTAAAGTCAGTGTAAATAGTACTACAAGAGGCAAATAAATATTTATTCTGCTTGCACTTGAATACATGTTAAAATAAATATATATAGCTTACACAAGAAATTACTTAGAAGCAAATCATTTGATTTATCACCACTACAAGCTGACCAATAATGGCAAATAAATCACATACATATGCATTTATAAGTGCATACACCTAAGTATCCGTAAGTACCCATGTTCTAACTTTCCGGCATACTTATGTATTTACACCCTTGTTGTCCGACAAAACAAAAGCGTGAAGCAATGCGCTCATTATAAGTTAACAAATTCTTCCGTTTCCGGTACATCAACCAATCGGTATAAAAACAACAACAACAATGAAACCAACAAATACAAAAACAACAAATATTCTGTGCACTTACCTTTATTTACCCAATCATTCTTTCACCTCCCACAGGCACAGGCAGCCCTCATGTACGATGCTGTTTTCGTGTTGGTCGAAGCCTTCAACAAAATACTGCGCAAGAAACCCGATCAATTCCGCAACAACATTCAGCGACGAGGTCAACAAACACTAATGGCAGCGGCATCCACATCCATTAACGGTACAATGGGTATGGCAGCTGGCGGCAGCGTTGGCGGCATTGGCAGTGGAATCGGTGGCAGCGGTGGTAGCGGAGGTGGAGGCGGTGGCACTGGCATTGGTAGCGGTGGTGGCAATGGTGGTGGCGGCGGGAACACGCCTCGGGCACTCGACTGCAACACGTCGAAAGGTTGGGTGAACCCATGGGAACATGGTGATAAAATTTCGCGCTATTTGAGAAAGGTAAGCGAGTGGAAAAGCAACCTATGTTATGGCGTTGCTGTGGCACCATTTGTGGGTGGGGAGGGGTTAGCAGATATGTGCACATACTAGAAGCCAACACCGATGGGCAACAAACAAAGGTACAAGTGAAGTCAGTTAATATTTATTTAGAGCAGCGGTGGCAAAGGGTCACCTAACAGTTTAAAAACTGTAAGACCTTTGTGGGTTTCGATGTATTCGTGGTTGGAAACCTAATGCAGTCAGTGGTGGAGTGGATGAGTGCTGGATACAAATGTTTACGAACTTAGTGAATTGAAAATAATGGCGACGTGGGACTTTCACTGAAAGTGGAATTATACCTACATACACAAACAGTGGGAAAGGTCACATTGTAAAATAATGAATGAGGGTCCATATGTGATGAAATACTGGGGATAAAATTCATGAACTGAGTAGCAGACTACTGAGGTGTACATCCGAATTTCATTTGTCGCTGTGATGAGCATATTTTTAAGACGATAAAGAGACCAAACGCATTTCTATATTAGAATTACTAATTTAAGTGGCTCGTTAAATCATATTTTTAGATTTTTAAGATGACGGATAACATTTTTTTTACGGTTAACTGAATACAAACTAAAAGTGGGCGGTGCCACGCCTACTGTCCAATTTTTAACGCGGTTCCTATAAACTCGCGCTTTAATTGTTTTTAACAGTAACGTTATATGGGGAGTGGGCGGGTTGTCATCCGATTTCACCCATTTTCACACTGTCGATGGAGGTGCTAAAAAATTTGAATTTAGTGAATATTAGCTAACTCATTTGGTTTTAGATGATACAAACAACCGTTAGGAGAACAAAACTATTATACTCTGTAGCAACATGATGTGAGAGTATAACAAAATAACAGCGTTACAGTCATTTCAATCGGCTATACTCAGCAAACATGTGACGTATCTTGATACATTCTTCATTGCTTTAAATTTAACGTAAAACAAGAAAAAAGTTAATTTCGATTGCATCGAAGCTAGAATACCCTTAACGCATAGAAAAATTTCCATGCAAGAACTTGATTTTGATCGATCAGTCTGTAGGCTGCTATATAATATCATGGTCTAATCTGAACAATTTATTCAGATATTGTAGCAATGTTTTGGGTATCAACCATATTTCGTTATTGTAGGAATGCTTTCAATATAATCTGGACCAAACAGACTGGCTAATAGAAAGCCACCCGATAATTAATTTTCGTCATTTTGATCAATTTTAAGTACATAATTCTGCAGCTTTTTAAATCGCAAAGAAGAATTTCGACCATTTTGCTACTTTATTGCCATTCAGTTGATTGGATAATAAATTTAAAAAAGGTGAACTCAGTGTTAAATATGACGAGAGCATTTCTTGCATTCGTTAACTTATCACCAACGAGACACGTAGTCTTTGAGTTTCAATTTGTAATATAAATGTACACTGCAACATACATATATGCCCTCAATTAGGTGCGGTTCGTTTAACTCATTATTATTGTCTCTTAAAAATTGCTTATCTACTTGGTAGAAATGAATTACTTATCGCAATTGTTTATTACTGCGCTGATGTATACCTGAATAATGAGCCAAAATGAGTAGCACATCAGTGGAAAATCGTTTGCTCAGCGCACACTCATGCATTTATTGGATTTCAGCAATAACACCGTATAAAACCAATAAAATTCAAGCATATGTGCATAGGTATGTGGCAAGTAAGTATGTATGTGTGCAACGGCCGCACTTGTTGAAGGAAACTCACCGTCAAGTCATGGTGTAATGAATAAGCTGCGAGTAATTGGCAACAAAAACAACATTTAATTGGATATCACATTTTCGTGGGCACACGTCGTCATGTATTACATAACAAGCGCTTACAACACGAAACTTTCACATATAAAATTACGTATACGTCACGTCGTCGATGCAATTAAATTTTCTACAGCTGCGCAATTTAAATCAACCATTACACTCCGCATCATTAAACCGTTATCAACAAAGATGCTGGCATACCGTGCCACTGTGGCATATATATACATAGTATAGACATATGTAAGTATGTACATGAGTCTATGTGAGCAGCACTCACCTGCCACCCACACACACAACGAACTACGTGCACAGGTCACACAACCAGCCATAGCTATTCTCACTTTGTTCTAGTTGAAAACTCATTATTTGCCTTCCCTCATACCTTCTTCTTCTTCTTCTTTTTCTTCTCGGTTTTATGTGTTGCGCTACTGCACACTCATTCATCGACAGGTGGAAATCGAAGGTCTCACAGGCGACATTAAATTTAACGACGACGGTCGGAGGGTGAACTACACGCTGCACGTTGTCGAAATGACTGTCAACAGCGCCATGGTGAAAGTGGCTGAATGGAGTGATGATGCTGGCCTTCAACCGCTCTCAGCCAAGTATGTGCGTCTACGGCCACATGTAGAAATCGAAAAGAATCGCACATACATCGTTACCACATTGCTCGAGGAGCCGTACATGATGTTGAAGCGCCCCGGCATTGGTGAGCAATTGGATGGCAATGACCGCTTTGAGGGTTACTGCAAGGACTTAGCTGATTTATTGGCCAAGAAGTTGGGCATCAATTGTGAGTATTCAAGTGTATTTGGCGATGCATGAAAAGTGCATACGTTTGCAGTGATTTATGTGTACACCCACACACGTGATTGTGTGCTTTATAATAGATTTGCAATCAAAATTTTATTGACTCACTTACCAGGAGTATTGCGTTCAAGTTAAGAAACATAAATATTTCCATTGTGCTGACGATAAGTTCCATGTTCATTTCATTCTATAAAAGCTTAACTACATTCACTTTATGGCATTCGAAAGCCAGCTTTAGGAAAATATAATTGTCGGAAAAAATGAGGGCTATTCAAAAGCAAATTCAGCTCTGAAATGGTTGGCGGTTAAAGATTTTAATAAGTAAAATTTTCTAAAGAATACACTTGCTGCCAGAAGAGCGTCTATCTTCAATATACTTGTATACTATATCATACCTTATAACACAGATACATAAACGAATTGGTTTAGCATAGGCCTCTGCTTCTAGCATAAAAATCAATGACCAAGCATATTTTTCTTGTTGTTGGGGAACACAACGAAGTCAGTCGATAAGTTGTGGTTAATCAAAAATCGAAATAGCCGATTTACGAGTATGTACAACACAATAAATCAATATATTTTATCTGTCAAGAACAGGAGATTACGGTTGTATAATACATTCGGTCATTCTCCACATTTTAGTCCACCCTTTTAAGCACTTTCAAAAGAACAGATGTTCCTGAAATCATAATAGTAGAGTCAGAATTTTCTTTGGTGCACTATTAGTTATAAAAAAAAAATATTATAATTATATTATATATTAGTATACAAGTATATGCAGCCGCTTTTCGGCAGCCACTATATTTACTGCCATTCTGCTTCTGAGAACGTCTGACGTAATGCGATGTGATCGCGCTTGACAACGAAAACAATTTTGAAATTATATAATCCTTCAGAATTTCAAAAGTTTATTAACCTTCATTACATAAAGCTTTTATATCCAGACGCTTATATGTTAGCCACTTTTCAATTACCAAAAACCTGTGGTACAAATATGGATACAAAAGTAACTCCATTAGAAGATGTAATCATGTACTATATATTTCCTCTTTGCCATTACAGATGAGTAAAGAATTCTTCAAGTAATGGCAATATTAAACTACAGGGACTTGCTTTTGTTATTATAAGTATTTTTTTAATTATATCCTAATGCTGTAATAAATATTTCGTCTATTTTGCTATTCGCGCTTTCATATTTCTGCTTTATGTTATTCTTTCTCTCTTCTTGCTTGTCATCATTTACCGCCGATTCGATATTACCCCGTATATGCAGATGAATTACGACTGGTCAAGGATGGTACGTACGGTTCAGAGAATCCCACAGTCCGCGGCGGCTGGGATGGCATGGTCGGTGAACTGGTACGGCGGGTAAGTAAACAAGCGTGTGCGCTCGTGTTCGCTGTCATATTGGTTGCACCCGAATTTATTCCAATTGCATGAGCACTTTTGTTCCGCAACGCATTCAAAATATTTTCTTTATATTTCTCTTTCTCTTTCCAATCTTCGTTCACGTATGCTGCTGTCGCCCATCGCACAACGCTTTTTAAACGTCGACTGGTGCCTTTATATCTCGGTAACGATTATCTTTTGCCATCGTTGGACGATTTTATTGCATACCGAATTTCGCGACGCGCCTACGACCGCAAACAAAAAACACCCAAACGAAATAAAACGGCTCCATTGGTGTGCCTACCATTGGCGTGGCATTTTATTGCGTATATTTGGTCACACAGGAAGCGGATATTGCAATCGCTGCCATGACCATTACCGCCGAACGGGAGCGCGTCATCGATTTCAGCAAGCCATTCATGTCGTTGGGCATTTCAATAATGATTAAGAAACCGGTGAAGCAAACGCCTGGTGTATTCAGTTTCATGGATCCATTATCCCAGGAAATTTGGGTGAGTACATGAGTGTTGGTCTTAATTTTGCAACTATAACTGGTAGGGTTGCATTATTGCCGAAAACTTATAATGATTTGGAATATTCATTTCCAGGTAGTCTAAAAATAAAATTTAGTTATAGAAAAGCTTAATATACAAGTATATTGACAAAGCGCATTTGGCTGAGATTTAGAATAACTTTCCCCATATTTGGGATTAAAATGGGTATGTAGGTATATAAAAAGAAAGGTTTTGTAGATTAAGAAAATATATAATATACATTTAGTTGCCGCTGACTTAAAGTTTTTGAGATATTTGCGTTTAAATTTTAAAAATTCAACTAATTAAAGTGCGTGTTCCCTTGATTTATATTGAATCTTGCACTTATATTTTTAACTTTTATATCCACTAATACTTCACTAGTTGGTTTCTGCACATTTGTTTTGTATTAAATAGTGCAAAACTAACTTTAATATAATATTTAACTTCGGTTCAAGTCCATTTATTCATATAATAACAAAATGGTTGCTCGCAAACAAAAAATAAATGTTACCATATTTTGCAAACGAATGAAAATATATAAAAAAGAAGGATTATACGTACCGTCAGTACAAAATTCAAAATCCTGTGATGAGTAACGCAAACTGCGAAGGCTGACAATGCGGACATGAACTCCACGCGAAAAACTAATAATGTGTTACTTATTTCCTGCATTGGGGTATCATCTGTTTTTTTTTTATTTCTATGGGTTCATTTGTAAAATATGTAGATAAGGTAACACTGACAAACCCTCCAACAAATAGGAATGCAACCCTTTTGTTATTGTGTAAATCAAAAGAATTAAACAAATGTTAAATATTGAATTACAGTTATCTTTGCACCATTTAATATATAATAAAAGTGTAGAAACAAATTAATGAAGTGTTAGCGGATATAAAATAAAAAATATAAGTGTAAAAGTCAATATAAATCGAAAACTAAATGTATATATTTATTTTCTTCATCTAAAGAGCCTCCTCTGTCCGTACATACCTATTTTAACCCTAAATTTGGAGGATTCTATACTAAAATTTACCCTCGCGCTTCTTTATTTGTATGAACTAACAATGAGCTCCAACAGGCGTCCTCTTTTCTCTTTTGTGAAACTGATATATTCGTGTTTATTTTTACACTCACAAAAAGCATATTCCACCAACAACAGTATTAGGCATGACTAGCAGTAACCATAACTAAAACTTTAAAGGTACATACTTATGTAAGACAGGGAATGCCGTTAGTATAAATAGCGAGCGTTATAACACGATATTGAATGACTTTATTTTCCGGAATTTGATGAGATCGATGCGGACGATCTCTACTTGCAACAAGATGGTGCGCCCCTTATATTTTATCCCTAAACATGCTGCAGCAGAAGCACCACCGCCACCGCCATCGGTTTAACTATTCTACGACATGGGCACATTGCGTGCATAGTTTGGCGATTCGTTAATTTCGCAAAATGTTCCAGTCTGATGGCTGCCAATATCATGTGATTTAACGCCTCTATATTATTTTCTCCGGGAGTATGTTAAATCAAATACTTACGCCAATCAACCATCAACGCTCGAGGAGCCCGAAAACAACATTCAACGCACTATAGCCGAAATGCTGTAGCAGTTCGTCGAAAATTTGCGTAAACGAGTACAGATATGCAAACGGAGCCGCGGCGGCCATTTGACCGATATTTAGTTCAAATCATAAATAGCATAAATTATCTGCATAGCTAAAAAAAACCACATCCCATTTTGACCAAATTTTAGTGTTTTATTTCATTTTAACATCAAGTCGTTCTTGTTGGTAAACCCTTTTGAACTACTTTTTAGTTGATATATAAAACAAGTATAAACTTACTATATTCTCCTTGTAAAATTTGAAAATGTAATAAGATTGAAGTACATATTTTATCATAATCCAAGAACCAAATTATGAACGAGTTGACAGTCCTTGGCCGGATAAAAATTTGGGTCCGTTCCGGTTACGTAGACCCGACTGTCGTGGCAACAAATCTTAATCATAACAAAAAACAAGATAATTTACAAACTACTTTCCACAACAATTTTAAAATAGTTGGGCAATTCACAATTTGTATGTCCCCAGAAGCTGGTTATACCCTGAACAGGAAGTTTGCCAAGAAGTTTGTAATAATCAGAAGAAAACGTAGGAGATCCTATGAAATATATACATAAATGATCAGCACGATGAGCTGAGTTTATTAAGCCAAAAAGTTGCTCATTTGTCGGAACGGCCTATATCGGACCACTATAGCATATAGCTGTCATACAAATTGAACCATCGGAATCAAGTTTTTGTACGGAGCCTTTGTATTTGTGAAGGGTATTATAGCTTCAGTGCAACCGAAGTTAACGTTTTTTCTTGTTTTATTTGCCACTTAACTGAGAATAAACTTAAGAAAAGTAAATAGACTTATTAATATGAATACTTCATCATACATCTTTTCCAATTAACGAAGGGCAGTTTATAAGCTGTCAAAACAAAATAAGAATCATAAGGAGCATACATGATTTATTGAGATACTTTGTCATGAATTAAGTGTTCTAAAAAACAGTGCTTCAACTGATTTATATATAGGTATAATAATAAGAATATAACAGGTCTATAGATATTTTCGTGCATTTTTTTTTCCAAATGCAACAGAAGGCAAGGTCTGAGCTTTAAGACGAGTGAGGCTAGATATTTTCCGACCGCCGTTTTCCAAATGGTTTTTAACCGAATGCAATACTGACAAGCAAAATCGTGTTTCATCTTCACTTAACTTCAATTCATATGGCTACAATATTTCTTGTATTTTATGTGCGTATCCGGTTGCTTTTAAACGTTATTACAATTACGTTATGACAATGTTTGACAATAATCTTAATTGATTAATGCTTTCAGTTTGTCAGCGTTAAACTTTTTTGGCCGCCCAGGACGTACTTCCTCTTTCGAACTAAAACCACCACTTTTAAATTGTGTAAACCACACATTCGTTTAGCTAGAGTATGTTTACGATTCCATGACTTTCAGTCGAGGTTTTCTTCATATTAATATAATTATGAAATATTCACCACAAAAACACCTTTTCAGCACAATGTTCAATTTATTTGGCGAATCACACGAAGTGAGCAACACAGTATTTATTGGTTTCGACATACAGTGGTTCATAATAGTAAAATGCATAAGTAAATAATAAAAAATAAATATTAAGAAACATATTTTGCATTTATTTAGTAGAGATATAAGACCCGTTGATGGCTTCCAAGAATTTTAAAACGAATGTTTATAAATTTTCAACAGAATTGTTGTGTTATTTTTTATCTATTATCGTAGAAAAACTATTTTTATGTCAGCTTTTAATGAAATAAATGCTATTGAACTTTATTCTCATGGAAACACTAAAGATTTTCCATAAGATGTATGACAGCGGCTTAGTAGGGTGTTAAGTGTTGTTTGCAATTTAAGAGTATCCTGAGCTTAACTTCGCCTGCCAGATGTTTTGGTCGTTAACGTCCTGAAATAAATTCATTCAAATATTGAATGCGTAAAAACTTTGACATTTGTATATGATACGCAGTAGTGCAAAACACTTCCGTGAGCGACTGTATTTGAGATTCTGATAATCATTTTTTCTTCATCTGTTCCACGCATATTTTAACAATAGTATAAAATCCGTAAATAAATCTTTAATATTTAACAGATTTGCATATATCATAATAAGCAAGAACAATGTGCCAAGCTTTCTAAATCACGCTATGCATTTTTTCGCTCGTAATAAACGCTTACTCTCGCAATTCATTTTGTCGCTGCACGGAATGGTTCTTCTTTACAGCAGCCAACGTCTGTAGTCAGCCACAGTTGTTACACCCGCTGAAGCCAATTGTTTGCTGCGGGACCTTTGCGAGCACATGCATGAACTTGTTGTTATTGTTTCAATTTCCGTTGGCCCAAATCACAAACAAGTTTTGCGGAGAATTTCTCCAACATTTTTGTAAAAAATTAATGTACCATAAATTGCGCTGCATGTAAATGAGAAAACTTTGAAAAAACTTACTTCTACATGATTTGATTTCCTTTTTTGGTATTTTGGCCATTGTCGTTGGCATGTTGTTGTATGTGGCCTGTGTATGTATGTATATGCAAGCACTTGTATGGTTAAACTTTGCATTTTGTGAATTTTAAAGTTTTCCACCCCATCAACATTAAACAACGGCAAGAGCACATGGAAACAGTAGCAATCGCAGCTGCAATAACAACAACAAAAACAACAGGAAGGAAAATAACCACGGCATCGATGCTTATGGTTTGTTCGTTCCCTCATTTCGGTTATTTGGCAAGTTTTCTATTTGGCCAAAATGTAGAAAGCTTATAAAGTTTAATGCAGTAAAGCAGCGCGAAAAGTTTTGTTGTTAGAAAATTGAAGTTATATGCTAAATATGGCAAAGCGTTCGTTCAACCAGCCAGCCCCACCGGTAAGCCATTAACTGTCATAAACTACAAGGAGGCATTGAAACTCTTGCAATTTGACTCCGCCCACACTCTTCCTGTCCGACTTCTATTCAATGCTATGCCCGTATTTGTACTCTCGACTTCAACGCCAACTGCGTCTCAGTTTATTTCCTTTGCTACTTATGCATTCTAGTAGTTTAGTTTTTTTGTGTTTTTTTTTTTTTTGGTTTTTGTGTGTTGTTTTTGTTGCTTCCAACTGAGTTCATCAAACTTTTTTGAACCCCTCAAAATAGTGACATTAGACTAAGCAAATACGCTCGAAGAAAACTGTTTGAAAAGCTTCAGCTTTGCATTGCAGCAGTGAGAAAGGATTTCTTTGTTGAGCGCAAAAACTTCGTTTGCACTTCAGTGAGTGGGCAAATTGCTGTAAAGATTTGCCAAATCTGTCTGCAAACTCAAATAGTGTTCGTAAATTTTTTTATTGCATTTCTTGCATTTCTTAGTAAGTGCGCTAAGTAATTTTGTGCGAAATTAAA